AAATCCCAAAAGAAACAACACTTCAGTTGTACATGGGATTCCAGAATCGCCAAGTGACCTCTCGGCTAAAGATCGGCACTTCCATGATGCCCAACAATGAAAACGACTTCCAACCAAAGTTGGTCTCGATAGTAGACCGGCCAACAGCGCCAGTAGACTGACAAGGACAGCGCACCTGAAGTCTGTATCCACTCCCAGACTCCTCGCCATCCAGTTTCATGCACATACCTTCCTCACGGGCGTTCTACGCGCACGGTATAGTGCGAAAGATCGCATGGGTGGTTCAATACGTATGTGCGAAAGTAAGCCTGGACTCACGAGGCAAGAGGAGAGACGGCAACCACCAAGACCTCTGGAGTCAGTGGTCGCCACACATGCACTGACCAGTGGGTCAGAAACATGAAGTAAAGAAGCTCATACTGCCGCAGCCCCCACCCAAGTTGAAAATAAAAGGCTAAAAAGCGAAACGATACCAGTTCTATGAGGGCCAGAGACTCTGGACCCAACCACATAAGCGCTCCTCTCACGAAAATACACAACCAAACCTTCCCTCTCACAAGGCGCACTCTAACATGTATGCACAACAACATTAGGGGGCTAAGAGGGAAGGTAGCGGAAATGAGGACGCTGCATGACTATCAGCACTCCAACATCATATTCATCACCGAATCCTGGCTCTCGCCAGACGTCTCCGGCGAAGAGATGCATGTTACTAGCATGGAACTCTTCTGCAGGGATATAGAACTCAGAGCAGGAGGGGGTGGCTCTCTACGTAAGCTCCCGCTTAAAGGTAAAGGTGGTTAGCGATACGGCCTTAACCCAAATCCCAAAATCTCTGCGGTGCTACCTCACTCCCCACTGTACCAAATACCTGCTCGCAGTCGTATATCGGCTCCCTACCAGCTCTTCTACACATGGGGAAATGGTCATCAAGGCAGTCATAACGACTTCCTCTGCAAATTACAATTCCGTAGTCATTGCGGCGACTTCAACACCCCGTCCATCCTCTTCGAGACGGAAGGGAAACACATCAGGTCTTTCAATAAGAAGCTGAAGGATGTAATTAAGGCTGCTGGCCTCAGAGAAAGTGGGTGATGCCACACGCTGGGGACCTAACGGAAACGCATCTCGCCTTGACTACTTTCTGACGAACGATGAACTTCTTGTTGAGGATGTTTGCATCCAACCTCCCCTTGGCCTCAGTGACTACGCTGTAATAACCTTCACCATGGTTACTAAGGCGGCTCTGCAACTAAAGACGCCCAACACCTCCCCTTGCTACAGCAAGGTCAACTATGAGACCGTGGAGGACTGCCTCATGAATGCATCATGGCCGGTAGACCGGACGCATCTCACGGCAGATGAACACTGGTTGGAGGTGAAGAAAATAATCACTGGGGCCATCAGTCACGGTGTGTCAGAGGTAACACATAGACCGTCAGTGAGAACCCCATGGCTAAAGCGTCGGACTGAGAGGCTTATCCAGAACAAGAAGCAGGATTGGTTCAAGTGGCGTACATCACGCAGGGAGTCTGACTTTTTGAACCACAAAAGGACTCGCAACCGCTGTAACATTAGAGTGTGTAGCGACAGATTCCCCTATCAAACGAACCTGGCGGAGGGGTTACAAAGCAATCCCAAAAACTTGTACCGCTTCACATTGGGAAGGAAATCGACCAGCAAGGGAGTGAATCTTATCGCAGGCCATGATGGGAGTGTACTGAGCAGTCTACAAACTGCCGTGCTTTTGAATCCACACTTCCAAGCCCAACCTAGTACTGACACTAAATCCATACCTACCGGGTCATAAATAACGAACACCTCCGTCACATCTCAGTCGCAGAGAGAAGAGTGTTCGAGAAACCATCTAGGCTACGTCCAGGCAAGTCCCCTGGCTGCGATAACCTAAAACCAGTGGATCTAAAAAGACTGCTCTGAGGTGCTTACAAAACCACTCTACAACCTCCTTGAGCACTCAACAGAGCCGTGTAAACTCCCTGAAGAGTGCAAGAGAGCCATCTTACCACCCATCTTCAAGGGAGGAGAGAGAAAAAGCCCTGATAGCTACAGGCCAGTTGCTCTACTCCGTATCGTGTCGGAAGTGTTGGAAAGCCTGGTAGCTGACACCATCTGGGAATTCCTCACTAGGTAAAACACTGTGCATACTGCATACAGCATGGTTTTCGGAGTGGTCGCTCATGTGCCACCAACTTACTAACCGCCTGGAACGACTGGACACTCAGCCTGGACAACAGAAAACCGGTAAATTTGTACTTCTCCACCTAGTCGAAGCATTTGACAGTGTCCCAGCCACAGTCCTGCTTCTCAAGATCATGTCAGCTGGTACAAGTGAACCCCTAATCTCTTGGTTCAAGGAGTACCTGAAAGGGAGGCAGTTATGCACCAAGGTAAGCAGAATGAGGTTGGAGTGGCGACCATCGACGCGAGGAGCATCTCAAGGAGCAATCCCAGGGCCACTTCTCCTCCTCCTGTTTGTCAGACAAAATATCCTCATCCATTCTCCTCTTCGCTGACGACATTAAAATTTGGAGGGTGGTAAAAGAAAGAAGCTGACTGTATAGCACCACAAGAGGACTTGCAGCAGCTCGAACTCTGGTCGTCGGAAAATGGCCTGAGCTTCAACCTGAAAAAGTGCAAGGTGATGCACATCGGTAAAAATGAAGCAAGTACGACCGACTTCCAACATATGCTGAGCAACCACGCTATCAACAGCGTCTACGGAGAAAGATTTGGGGCCCAACTCTTCCGACACCTTGAACACCAGCTCCAACTACAAAGGTATGACAGCCAGAGCGGACGCCATTCTGAACTTTCTGCGTAGACAGCTTAGCGCCCTCACCCCCGAACTCTTTCTCACCATTTTCAAATCCTACGTGCGACTGCATCTAGAGGTCTTCAATACGGTGCCCCTCCCCCCAACACTCAGGTGAGACTCTAATCTCCCTGACGTAATACAAAGACCGTCAAAAAAACCGGTTGTGGGGCTAAGAGGAAAGACGTGTCTTGAAAGACTTAAACACCTAAACCTACTTACCTTGGGTTATAGTAGGAAGAGGGGTGACCTTGTTGTGGCACACAAGATCGCCCATCAGGCGGATTACTCAAACAAATCAATTTTGCTTGCAACTCAGCGGTCTTCACGAGGAAGCCCCATTAAGATAGCACACTAGAGAGCCAACAACATACACAGGTCCAAGTTTTTCTCCCTGAGAGTATGTGTTTCATGGAATGCCTAACCACGACATATCGTTATAGCTCCCTCAGTTGAGTCATTCAAAGGACGATTAGACAGTTGTGTCACCCCTCGTGGTCTACCACGGACGCACTCAGGTAATCACCAACCTCACTAGCCCACCCCAACTCCCTCCTACCTATCACTCACTATCTCACTCCTCAATACACCCACATTACCTGCTAATTCCTCTGTAGCAACCAAACCCACGCTACCATTCGGGCGATTCCCATATACTTTTCCGTCGTCCTCATTTCCCTTTTTCACCCCTCCTTTTCTTCTCCTCCCCTTCTTTCCTTTTTCTCTCCCCTTATCTTCTTTTTTCTTCCTCATTCTTCTACCGCCACCTAACTGTTCTCTTTCAGGTACCTACATAGACAGGAGCCAAGGCAGTTCCCTGAACTTCCCAGCGACCTGTAGCTCCCCAATCACCCTACAAATTACAACTTACTGACCAACCGAGGACTAATACTGACTGACTAGACACTAGCCTCCAGAGCCTACACAGTGCTGCACTTCATGCGCAGACAGCTGGGTGCCCTGACCCCAGAACTCTTTTTGAAGCTGTAAAGGACCTATGTACGACCCCACCTAGAGGTACAAAACGTCATTGCACCACCATATCTGAAAAGAGACGTGAACCTCCTGGAGAAAGTCCAAAGGCGAGCTACAAAGTGTGTCGTGGGGATTAGGCGAAAACCATATCAAGACAGGCTGATAGATCTAGGGCTCTTCTCCCTAAGCTACTGTAGATTACGTGGTGTCTTGATAACGGCTTACAAAATACTCAGCAACCCAAGTCATCCGAAGAGCGGAATCCTACCGAACGGCCACTATGGCGATCCTCGTGGTGATCCGAGGAGAACCGCCCACCGATGGGGAGAAACTTGTGTGCGATCACACTTCTTCCCTCTGCGAGTTTGTGGCCACTGGAAGGCATTGCCTACCGAGATTGCTGCTGCCCCGTCTGTCGACAGCTTTAAGAAGAGGTTGGACAGTTACGCAGCGACGCACGGTTTGCGCTCATCCAACTGGGATGTGGACCAGGCTGACACGACCTACTAACTCGGTACGACCAACCGTTACTGAACACTTCGTAAAACCACTATCACTGAGAGCTTGGCTCAACCTTTTACCTTCCTGTAGACGTCCTCTCCAGTTACCGTCTCCTACTAAAAGAATTACTATATTCTCATTCGTCCTATCATATTATTTATTATTCTTCCTTCTGACTTTACTTTCTCGAACTTTGAGAAAAGCTCTCCCTATCACCTGTTCCCCAATGAACCTACCAATGTTTCTTTTTCCGTGCCGTTTCCTTTTGCCGAATCTTTTTTATTCTACTTTCTTTTTCTATTTTCTTTCTCTGCATACATTTTTCATCTCCTTTTTACAACCAGTCCGGCCAGTTGTCTGCTGGCACGACATTTGAGGAGCCCATCTGCACCACAGTCCTTGGAAGAAAAAGCAAGCAAACAAACAACACTCCCTACAAATTTAACCAACAACCAACCACCCGTCGGGCTAGCCAGAGCTGCAGCGGCCGAGTGGGTAGACCTATTGCATTGGAACCCACCAAAGACCTGGAACCGCTCCGCAAGACCTAGAAGCGACCGTGAAGAAATCAGTTGGTCTACACTAGTTCGTTAAAAGATATTGCATATTGGAACCCACAAAACATCCACCCCACCATGGCTAAAAGCAAGAAAGCGGAGGGGATTTCCTCATCCACTGTAGGAGTGAACCGAACAACTCGAACCAAGCCCTAAGAACTAGATGCGAGAGATCAAAAACTATTAGATTTCTACGCTCGCATTATCAATATTGGATATTGGATAATGGAACAGCGCGCACTTGGTTGCTTTTAGTTGTTGTCAAGATCTTGTGCGAGTATGACTACCCTTGTAGAAGCAATACAGAGGAAACATGAGAAGTTGACGGAAAGCCACATCTTTGTCGGACATATTCAAAAGGCATGTTATCGTACTGGTACCAATATTCTGTTTCCGACACGGACTTTAACAATGGACTGTCAGAACATAGATAGCATTGGTTCCAAAGATGGGCTACTTGAAGAGGCTGAGAATGTAAGGGAGTTGGATTTGGCCGGTAACCATCTGTCCTCTTTCGAGGAGGTATGTTTCGATCAAAATATTCCTGTTATTATTACCAATGTGAAGAGCTGTCCGACTAGTTATTTAGAAGTGTATATTTACAAAGCAGATGCTTTTTTATTTATCTCATTGGCTGGTACTAAGCCAGAAGCTTTTTGATACTTCCGACGAATTCGAGCGCAGGTGTGGTTGATGCGGCACATTCGCTCCCGCACAAATGTCTATAGCAGTAACCTATGTTGTCTCAAAAATTATCTTTGCATTGTCATATGATAGGTAGTAGAAAGGATGATTCTGGACATTCGTATTCATTGTTGAAACCAAGACCACACCATTCCGATCTTAGCGTCAGTCTGTTCCCCATACGCCTATAAGAAGCTGGAACCACACTACATCCATAAATATGCACGGGAAAACTCAAACAGTAATTCAGAATGAGGAGTACATTCTGAGAATTAAATATTAACCTTAAGGTCAATTTTGAGATATGATCTGCATATCTTTTGTGGCATTTATTACTTATTTCCAGTGCTTTTAAGTCACAGTATATATTATCTGGAGTTTCAACACCTAACCTATTCGTTTTTATTGGTTTTGTATCAGATCTAAACTTTGAGGACAGGATGCCAGTAACCTATGTTAGTTTGTTTCCTGGCAAGTTTGTTTGCCTGCCTATTCCTCATTTGAATAAACCGATTGGTGACATGGATACCACTTCTTCTGGAAGTCAGTCAAAAGCGTTGATTTGTCTGTGTAAAACCAGCAAACCAACTTCCTTCCTATTCTTGTTTGGTCTGTTAGTGTGTTTTCTGTCATATTTGGGCCTGTTATAAAGAAAAATATTGGAGGAATCAAGTTCGGTGACATTTCTTTAAGTTCTGTATAGCATGATTAAGTCTCCTCTGTCACCACAACTCCAGAAAGAGAATACGCTTAGTTCCTGAAGTCTTTGCTTATGGGTTAGGTTAGACGTCGGAGGGATCATGCGAACTCTGGAGACGTGATTTGTCTTCCTGACGTTCTCCACCTGCGCAGTTTTCCAGTTGTGATCTAATTTAGGCTGTTTGTGTGGTAGTGTACGTATTACCACTGGTTCTAGTAAAATTTCTGCTTATCATCCAATTTCCTGAAACTGTGAGCTGTCATAAGTTGATGGTATGCCATGGTTTTCTATTTATGACATACTGCGATTCCTGTGTCGTTATGTGTCACTATGAAGGATTGAGAAGTCTCACAGTGATCATAAGTGTTGCCATCTGAATGGACTGCGTGTATGATTGTACACTCATCTGCTTTGATAGACGCTAGCCACCTCTCTAACCAGGTTAGCAAACTGTCTAGGTCTGTCTGAATTTCACACGCATTATCGTCATCGCTCAATTCCCGCCAGACGTCTGGGTCATTCGTGTAGATAATAGAGGGAGATTTTGGGATGCGAGTGAGATAAAATCATGTGATCCTCATAGCTCAGGTGTGTAAGCTGACTTCAACCGGATGCATTTCTGCTCCACTCTTTACCAAGTAAGTTAAACAGCTGTCCGGAGTTTAGATTATGTTCATGTGTTCAAGAAAGACTGAAAAGTAATGTTATTGATTCCTGTAGAATTCAGACTTCATTAAGACGCTATATCTTTTCGATCATACTTTCGAAGCATTGTTCCTGAGTAACGAAACGGTGGTTAACTATGAAGTGTTAAGCAGTTGAGGCAATCAAGTCGTTGAATTTTTGAATGTGTACCAACAGTTGGTTGCAACAAGCGTACCAAGCTGTCGTCCAGCACAGCGTCTTGTCAGCTTGTGCAGGATCAGGTTGGGGAAAGACTAGGGGTGACTGGGCTACGATGTGATACCAGTCTGTAAAGTTGTTGACTGTTAACCTGAGTTGTTTGGAAAGAGTTAGCTGCCTAGATTTTGATCACAGTATGTTGTGAATTAATGGTTGGGAACTTCTGATGGTTTATCAGGTGTATTTACTACTGACCATCAATTTTATTAACTGTTATCTACTTCTTTTCTCCCTGTACAAAATCTTTGTTTTATCCAGTCTCTTTCCTTTCACTGCACTTATCCTTCCCGGACCATTATCAATGCAAAGTTTTTGTGAGATTCTACATTGATCTTTTCTTTCTGTTATCAGTTGCTCATAGTGATCATGACAAACAGCTGCAATTTAGCGTGGTGGTTGAGGTTGTATACCACTGATCGGAACGGCTGTTCCTTGAGATCTTACCATGTATGTTGAGTAGTGACAAAGCTAAGAGTAGCAACCTTCATGGTGCAAATAATTTGCGCTGTGATGGTGATATGAGGTTTAAGTCCTGCTCTTGACTGTACCAGAGTATTCCCTGCAGATAACCAGCATTCTAAGTTTATTGTTCTCTCTTATTCAATGAGGAGTTAGAAAATCGTTCACAGTGGTGCAGATGTATTCACTCTTTGACGTCTTCTAAAGCCTGAATATTCTCACTAACCTCTATCTTCAAATTACTGATTCTCTCACACGACTTTTTTCCATCTTATCATCACCCTTATTCTATCCACTTGTTCTTTGTATACCACTGTAATGTGTGGCAACTTGAACTGATGCATTTGTGTGCGAGGTTCTGCATTGATTCTGTTTATCTGTCTCTTTGGGGAGTTGGAAAAGGTAGACTCCACTGCTTTTCGGACTGCTGGTGTCAATTATGTGGTAGCTCACTGGGTCTATAAGAACGCTTTTTCGAATCCATAGTGTGGATAACATTGCCAACAATCCTCATACCCCTTTCACAGTTCAAGTTCCTTCTGAAAATCTTTTCTGAGTCTTAACACTAGCTCATGATGGCTATGTGAGGTCCCTGAATGGTGTCTTGTCTCCTAAGACCGCCATCCACAATGAATACTAGAACCTTCAACGTTCTCACTGTTTACCAGTTTAAACAGGAAGAATATCTAACTATTACTGGGTGTATGATGTTTTAGGATTTGTCCTGGTGCGAACTTGACAGACGCAAAGACCAATCACTAATTATTCGAACTTGTTATATACCCACGAATACGAGACCAAGGAAGAACACGATAGCGTAGTCGGATGGAATAGTATATTTGGATGGTTATGCCAAAATACCGATGCGTTCCAACTAACTGGCTAGAGAGTCGAATACGAGCAATGCAACGTAACACGACAGCGTGCCAAATGGCGAGGATGCTTGACCGGGTGCCTTCAGCTTAGCGAGTCCAGTTAAACTATCAAGGTCAGCATCAATGTCGAAGTCGTCAAACCCTAGGCTATTGATTTTGGGGAAGTGTATGACGCTACAGATCACTCCCCCCTAGTGGGTTCGTGAGGACCCTAAGACGATACCAGCCGGAAGTAAAAACCCAGTGGTTTCTCCACTGGTAAAACTCTTCCGATGGGCTCACTGCGTGAGGTGGCCCCTGGTTGTCTGAACCTTATTCTAGGGTGTCGTGGCGATTAAATAAATAAAATACAATAAATGAAATTGTACGTCGGTCGCGGTCATCTGTTCCTTTCGACGTTCCGTCCAGTGCTCGTTGCACCTGGAATATAAATAAAAGTCTTTAATACCACGAAAACGTTGCGTAAAAATGGGAATTATTTATATATAAACGTGTCGAAAAATAAAAATTTACGCTTATCTTCGCCGTTTTTTTAGTTTTTATTACATGGTAATAAAAATTGATATAAAAAGGCAAAGTGTACGAGGGTTTGTGCTGCCGGTAAATAAGAAAAATAGTGCCTCGAAGAAAAAAAATGGTTGGCACACACACAGCTAAGTTGAATATGACTTCAGGTACTCTGGGAACCTGACGGTTCGACCTGATCGTGTTTTTTGTTGCGCCGCTGGTTGTTGCAGCTGTGCATTACCAGGCACATCGTCGAGAATTTCGATAATTGAGTCATCCGTCGGTCGGATGTAGCGAGCTGAAACGTCACTTACAATGGGGTTGCCTTCGAAATAAGCTGGTTTCAAACGGTCGATACTGACAGTATCTTCACGTCCGTCTCGCTCAATTATATAGAATTTCTCATGTCGCTTAATCACTTTGAACGGCCCGTCGTAGGGTGGTTCAAGTGGTCGACGAACAGCGTCGTGGCGAACAAACACGTGTGATGTCTTCTGTAAACTGGGGTGGACGAAAACATCAGTCGTTTGCGGTCTAATCGGAGAAGGCCTAACTGAACGCATTGCGTTTGTAAGCCTAGTCACGTAAGATGCCCTGTCGGAAACATGTTTGAAAGTTGAAGGGGAAACAAACTCACCTGGTAGGCGAAGAGTGGTCCCATAGACGAGTTCTGCAGGAGTGCATCCAGCATCAACTTTCAACGCGTTACGAATACCTAGTAGGACTAGAGGCAGAGCCTCGGTCCACTGAGGTATGTTTGTAGCTGAAAGGGAAGCTTTCAGCTGTCGATGGAAACGCTCTACCATGCCATTTGCTTGTGGATGGTAGGCTGTCGTTCGGAACCGAGTGCAACCTAAAAGTGCCGTTAGAGCGTGAAATAGTCCACACTCAAATTGGCGCCCACGGTCGGTTGTGACGTAGGATGGACATCCGAAGTTCGCGATCCATCTTTCGACGAAAACACGAGCAACTGTTTCGGCAGTAATATCTTTAATGGGTACTGCTTCCGGCCATCGTGTGAAACGATCAACACAAGTGAAAAGGTAGGTACATCCATTAGATTCTGGTAGGGGTCCTACAATATCTATATGGACGTGGTCGAAACGCATGTCTGGGGCTAGAAATGAGCCTAAAGGGCTTTTCGTGTGTCGCGTGACTTTACACTTTTGACAAGCTAAGCACGACTGGGCCCACTCCTTAACGTCTTTGTTCATCCCAGGCCAGCAGAAACGTTGTGCGATAAGCCTAATGGTGGCTCGTACACCTGGATGAGAGAGTTTGTGCAACGTATTGAAGACGTTGCGTCGACAACTCTTCGGAACTATTGGGCGTGGTTGACTAGCAGAGACATCGCACAAAATTGCATCCTTGTCTGATCCAACAGGACAAAGTCG